GCGAAAACGATTCACAAAGCAATCAATGCAATATAATATACATATATTGAAATATCTTGGAAAATGTAGAGTAAGCAAGAAGAGAAGTAAAATAAGTAGAGGACTAAATAACTTTCGGGAAAAGAGTAAGAACAATCCACCTTTATCTACCTAATTTCTTTAAGATATTTTATTTAACTTGTGAAAATTTTTTTCGAAGACTATCGAATTTATGAAAATTAATATAGTTATTATAATGATGATTATGTGATTATGTACAGAGTTTATCCCTTTCAGCTCAAAATAATGAAAAGGTAATTCATCTTACAGGAGGCATCAAATGAAAATATAAATGTACTTATAATATGGCAACCACAGATCATTCATTTACTTCCTACATTTTCTCTTAAGAACAAATTCATAAAGCATTTTATGTAGAAGTACCGTTATATAAATAAAAAGTTGGAGTAAGATTTGCACTTATTATTTAGACGCAAAGAATATTTACTTCATCGAGAGTGATTAGTCTTTGCTGGAGGGCCTATGAAAGGAAAGTATAATTTTAGTTTCGGTTCATTTCTTTCAAGGTAAAATTGAATTTTACTACAGATTTAATACATTTGTATTTATTAAGAGAATTTCTGTTATGGTGAAAATATTTTTGTGCTATTCTTAGTAAAAAATATAAGCAAATTGAAGAGAATCGGATCTTAATTGTAGAAGATGGGAAGAGGGGTGAAACGTATCAGAAAAGACATGAAAAATATTCCATTTCGATCAGAGAGACAAGAAGAAAGAATTTTGAATACTCCAAGAGAAGGAAGACATTCAAGACTCCATCCGGTAGATGGAAAAGGACCTATGCTTTCCATTTCGTGTAGGAAAAAAGGACTAGAGTTTGCAAAAGAGTATCCACATGTGCCAACCACATTTTGAGATAAAGTAATTTAGTCCGATGAATTCAAATTCGAGCTAAGAAGTTAAAAAACACGTAAGGGAATGTGGTGTAAACCTTCTGATCGCTTAAAACCACAGTGCATACAATCATCAGTTAAGCATAGAGGATGTTCTGTCATCGTTTGGGGCTGTTTCTCAAAATTTGGTGTAGGTAGTGTATTTAAAATCGTTGGACGAGTGACGAGTGCTTCATTTGTTGACATTCTTATCGAAATTTTGAAAATAAATGCGGAAAAAGTGAACTTGGGGTCGTTTATCTTCCAATAAGATAACGATCCCGAACGCACGTCTCGCCTGACTCGCTTTTTTGAAGAAGGCTAAAGAAAAACTGGTCTGGCCAGCTCAGTCATCGGATTTAAATCCAATTAAGCATTTGTGGTTAATTTTTGATTCCAAAATACTAAAAACAGCCGTACAAACTTGGAGACGAAGCGTCATTTTGACATAATTTCCAATAAAATTTTTAGAAAACTTGGTTCGAGGCATGCCAAAACGTCTTAGTACAATAATTCGGAATAAAAAAGGCAATATTAATTACTAATTTTTTTTATTTATACCAAACGTTTTGTATTCTTTCAAAATTTATACCTTCATTTGACCGTTTTTGTTTAAGAATCTTTTTTTTTTTTTTTCGGAAAACATTGTTTCGAACGCGTCGTTTTTTTTTTTTTTTTAAAATATTGAGTGATTTTGAAACCAATCGTGCTTTCATCTTTCTTAGGTACAAATAATCCTTGAAAATGGTTTTCACTGATTCTTCCGATTTTACAACGACGCCAGTAAGACCTTTGACTGTCTATTGCAAGCACTAATTCCTTTATTTTATCGACGTGTTGAACATCNTAATTTTTTATTTAAATACTTACGTAAATGTAATAATAATGTATGAATTATTAATTGTTTATTTTAATAAAACTGTATTGAAATAACGTCTGTGAAATTTATACTTTCATTTGAAGCCTAGTGTATGTATATATTATACAGAATATACAAACTCTTAATTCGAACCTGTACGTTATATCAGAAGAACACACGTCAATACCACACGCATCGATAGTGATTCGCCAAGTATCCAAATGACGAAGATAATGAGAAAGCCCAAGAATTGGGCTCCCGTTGTCTGGATGTCCGTCCGTCAACTTAAGTATAAGCCATCATAATGAAGAAAAGTATCTAAGATTGTTACGTTATTTATCCATTGAACGAGAGAAACACTTTCAAAACCAATGCTTTTAGATAAACTTTATTCATATTAAACATTATATGACACAGTCCCAATGATTTCGAAGAAAATAGAAAACAGGTATGACTTAAATGTATAGTATAATAAATATCAACAGCCGAAGTGAACATACATATGTATACATTGTAAAATTATTTTTTTATATGCAGGTATTAATATATACATATATGTTTATATATATATGTATATACATATATAGTAAATACTTAGAAAATGTATATTAGCGACAGATATACAGCCAGTAATGTATTAATTAATATTAAATACTTCCTCTGAACATTAATTCTAGCAAAGTATAAAATGCACAGACCTTAACAGACGTGATGATAAAAAATGTACGAACGAATGTATATGCAGGCGTGTACAAATATTGACACAGTAATCTAAGCAGTGCCGAGTGAAACATTCGTTCGAGCATAAATATTTATTTGTTTTAACACTTTGTTCTCATAGATGCATATATATTTATAAAATGTCGATATGAATACCTACATATGTATTTATAGGGGATTTTTATAAAAATTTATGTACGTATATAAGATTTTGTCAGTAGCTTATACTTAACTAAAAATTACGTAAGCATGTTAGAAAAACAGATATGCATTGCTAGTTTTAATTAAGACTTCTTAAAAAAATTCACAGCTTAATACGGTATTATATTCTATTCAACTTAAATAATTTATTTTTAAGTTACTGGTAAGTATTAATGTTTATTTCAAAATATAAACATTTCTTTAAAAGATAATTGCACAATAATACATATTATTCAAAGCATTGCTCATCTGGTGCTCTCCAGCAATTTGTGGATTACGTTCTTAAAGAGCAACGCCGACAGGCCAAGAATGAATCAACTCACTTTTTGATACCCTGCTCTGATGTCAGCCGTATTCCAGTGAGCATTCGAACTCTACCAGAACAATGGGTAGTCAGAAGAATCAAGGTCTGAACTATACTGCGGGCGAGGCAAAACTTCTCAGCCGTTGTTTTCAATTAATGTTTATGCCTTGATTATTATTAAGAATAATAATCCAGTTACACTATACCTTAGCAAACCGCACGAATATAGTTGTGATCCAATATAATTTTTAGTAGCAAACTATTTTGCAGCCTTTATATACGTTTATATGTAAAAGTAACGTAAATAATAATATCATAATTTCTATTTATTTAAACACCAGCTTTGCTGTCGTCACTAATCAAAATAAATTATTTATAAAAAGTCCGACAATGTTTCATTCGAAGGGTCGACTACATGACATTCGGTTTTATTCTGGTTCACAACATGAAACTTAAGAAATTAGGATTGCTGGCTTTCTAGTAGAGTCAATATCATATCATCGATTCGCCCGTTCTCTGCTCACTTCTGATCGCTTGTAAAAAAAATTCAGAGCACATTTTAGCGCCGGGTTGCACCACAAGTGCTGCCCGTTGGTTTGAGCCCCTCGACTCTACTTTCGAATCGAAGACAGCTATTATAATCTCTCTGTGGAATGATATACTTTTTTTATTATGTTGATACAATTGTTTGGGAATTATGTGCCTTTAATTAAGAGGTTTTGATAAACGTAGAATAGAAAACTGGAAGAGGAGCACATTCATAAGGACTAATATTCATAATGCACATAACTTATATTTTAAATATACTAATGTTTATATATTTTTTATATAAATATTTGTAACACATTTTAAAGAGATTTTTTTATACAAATATATATGTATTTTTTATTGTTTGCACTTTATAACATTTGACGTTCATTTAACTTCATTATAATTTTGTTTTCATATGCCTTAAAATGTAATATTACAATTACTTTACAAAAACCTTTCAAAAATAAACAGCTACACGAAAGAAATCTCTTAAATACTGATAAATTAAGTAAGGATGGATATACTCGTACATAGTTAATTAAATAATTTTTACTCGTAAATCTCATATCACACTTATTCAAATATAGTGACATATTTCGAGTTGACTGCTCTCCAGATGCAAGTTCTTCAAATAATTTGGTTAATTACTACTACTTATTTTTAGTACTAAACATATATGTACGAGGTGATTTCGATTATGTTTTGAGAGTGCGTCAAGTCAGTGCACTATGTTAAAAAACCACCTACAGCAGGGCTATTGAAATCTAGCGGCGAAATAGCACCACTGGTTTGAGTAATGAGCTTGTGCCATTTTTGCCTTGTCGTTTTTTATTTGAAATAATTGTTCAATAACTATAAAAAGCACCATTTAAATATAGTAAATATAATATAAATTCATGAGTGGGCGGTTTAATATTAAATATAAAAAAATGTTTTTGAAATTCTGCAGAATAAACACATACAAATATTAAGAGGAATGTCGCACTTTCTATCCTGACTTGTTATGAAGATAAATAAATATTAGTTATTTAAGCTATAAATGAATTGCAATTTTATGTGCGTTAATCGTCAGCAGAAAATTTTAATTCCTCATCCACCTCAATTCACTATAACTTTCTCACTAGTTTTCTTGTGAGAGATTTTTCTGAATCCGGCGTAGCTCCTTCGTCAGCCACATTTGTACCTCATTCGATGGTGATGACGTTGGTTTACTCTTGCGCGTTCTGAATGCAGTGGATCCGCCGTTTAGCAGTAGTGGAACTTCGTCGGCGAATGCATCATCGTCGTCACGAATTTTATTGTCGTCATAACGGTTGCGTTCACCAAATTGACGATCCATGGGGTTTTGTTCCCGAATTAGGGGTGTTTCTTGTGCCTGTCGCAGTGGAAGTAGCTTCGTGTTGCCGGCTGCGGACGTAATCTCATTCACATTCGATTTCATTTCGCGCTTTTGTCATTCATGATACAAAATACTGGTGGAGCTGCTCATCGACAATGGCAGATGCGTATCCACAGACTTTTGGCGCTTCGTCATCGATAACGCACTTAAATGCTGTGTTGGATGTATCTGAGGTGCAACGCCAGCGGTTGCTGTTGCATTGAATGCATTCATGTGGAAGTGTGAATGAGCACCAGTCAATTTGATGAGTGGAATGCGATAGACACGCAATGGCTTCGTACGATCTGGCGAACGAGAACAACCATCAGTGAGATTAGGTGAATTAGCACCACCACTACCACTACTTGTTACACTATTGAAGATATTTCGATACTTAGAAGTTCGCCTGGTGGGCGACATGGGCGACTGTTGGCTGCTCTTACTGCTATTACTATTACTGCTGCCGCTGTTATTGTTTCGCGGCGAATTGGGCGGTACACCATGTTGTGTTAGTTGCTGTTGTTGTAAGTGTTCACCAACAATGGAAGTGCTGCGTAATCCACTAAAACGGTTATCGGTGTCGCCGCAAGAGTTACTTTTAGCTATAACCGGCTTATCTTCGTACACATTGTGGGTTTTCTGGAGCGAACGTGCGCGATGTATATGTGGTAATGATCCGCTGGCATTCGGTATCTCTAGTAAATTTGTTAGTTCATGTTCTGGATTTATCGGTAAGTCTTTGGGAGTTGAGCAAAGCAGTTCAGATTGAGAGAGTTCTTCATTAGAAGATGCTTCGCTCGGCGTGGTGGCCAAGCGACGTTCCGATGCTGAAAATTCATTTATGTGCAAGCCCTTAATGTGAAGATCTTTAGACATAAATTCTGGGGCGGTTGTTACAAAAAATATGTCTCGCTTAGAGGTTATCAGCTGTAATTCCGGCATTATTGCTGTGTGCACTAAGTTACCGTTCACCAATAGCCGAATTTCCATTGAGTCGGATGTGAAACCAAGTATATATGGAAAGGCACACACCACTGCGGTCGGTGATGTGTTCCAGTGGAAGTCGAAGTTATTTTTTGTGCCAGACCTATCGGTCAACTTTTGAAAGTGGCAAGTGTCTGTGGGACAGAGGAAATTTTTAATAAACGAAAAAGGTCAACATTTGCGCAAATTTTATGGTGTAAAGATAAGATAAATGACATAGAAAGATACGATTTACTGATTTACTGAAAAATGTATATCTGTATTAAAACTGAATACGAAACTTACGATTATAGCACAACAGTAATTCTGTTTCCATGCCATCACAGAGTTCAATGGCCGCCGTCAATTGTGCTTGATTTCTCTTTGACGATTCCAAATCATAAAGTCTATTGGCTGTTCCCGTTTGATCACATACAATTTCGTAATGGCATCTAAAAGCAGCAATTAGTAAACAAGTTCTCACTACATGTAGTATGTTCATCAGATACTCACTTGTAGCCAACGCAAATTAGTCCACCCGCGTTTGTGTTAGTCGGTCCCTCCAGCGGCGTTATTACGCTTGGCGACTCACACAGCGTGATTTCCTTCTGGTAGATGAAACCTTCCACGGTTTCTGTGTCATTTTCCGGACACCACGACGCCCAAGCGGCTGAGTGTTTCCATTGGAATAACTGTAGTTTGCGGTTGACTGCCACCATCAGCCTCAAATGGCCGCCACTAATACGTGAACCCGCAAACAAATGGCATCCCCGTGTGCGTTCGATACGGCGATCCTTCACCTCGGCACGACTGCGGCAACGCAAAGTTTCCTCGCCATTTCTGGGCAGAAATTCACGCAAACGAAAGACGTGAATGCGATGAGCGTCACGATTAGTTAGTGAACCGCCACGTATGAGCACAATTCCATGGTCTTCCAGCACGCTCAGTTGCCGCACTTGAAATGTCTTGTCGAAGATTAACTGATGCGATTGATCCTCTGCAAAAAAGTGCAAATGCACAAATGAGACTTCTTTATCAATTCATAGCAAATAGGAATAAATGTATATTAAAATTTATTCGAAAGGGATATAAATAAATACGGCGATGACGTGTTAGAATGAAACAAAACACTCTAAATTGTGTTAGAATTATTTCTGCAGATAATTTTATGCCATTTTTGATTTACACAAAATGTATGCCAAATGGCCAGAATGGCTCCCTTTGCATATTAGAGAAACATTTCGGCTGGAATTTGAACTATCGTGCGCTGAAAGGTATCTTCGAACTGCTCAAGCGTTACTGATTGATTGGCGTAAGCCTTTGATTTAGATATATATACGGCAACGATTTTTGTCATAATTTTAAACAAGTTAATGAAAACGTATTTTTCGTTTACACTAATTGTTCAACTAATTTTCTTAAATGGAGAAAATGTAAAAAAAATCCATATAAAACTCTTGATTTTTATACTCTTGCAACCTTTCGCTATAAAGTTTGTTTTGAAAGCACCCTATTATACCGCACAGATATATAAATTATCCGGATGACGAGGGGAGTTGAAATTCGGGTCACTGCCTGTCTGTCCGTTCATCCGTGCAAGCTGTAACTTGAGTAAAAACTACTTGCTGCTTTGGTGGGAACGTGGCACACTAATTACAATCATTTTCGAATTTTGCAATTATGCGGTAAATAGCACGCTAATAAGGAATATTATGACCACGTTTTTGGCGAGGAGCTTTTAGCTACCGCAAAACGTAAAGGAAATAATCTTGGACAATTTTCAAGCTTTATACCGAAGTGAAACGTAACGCGATATAACTGCAAACCTTGCACTATGTTACCACAAAAAATTTTAAGTTAATATCTTACATTTAATCTCTTCACTAATCTAGCCTAATCTAGATGATAATCTGTTATGCTTTTGCCATTCAAGAATTAACTGAGCTTAATATTTTTTAAAAGAAAATATTGTTATATAGTATTTTGTTATAAAAGCCTATAAAAGCTCTTTCAAATATTTTCCATATAATGGAAATAATGGACGCATTGATAAATTTTTACACAAATTGATTAAGAAAACATGGTCGCCACGAGCTGTTAAATAACATCATTCCTATTATATATATATATACTTTCCGTTTCAAATAACGGTGTTGTTAGCCTAAATTTTTGAATAAAGCTTAGACAGACATAAATCAGAATACTTCAACAGCCAATCACCCATAAATGCAAATGATTAGATCCTACTTCTACGTCTCATGTGTTAATTAATTATCATTTATTTTACCTTTCATCAAATATGTTCCGTCATCAGTGGCAATAAATAAGCTTTCATCATTGGAACCGAAAGAGTCGCCCGCCAGTGTTCCACGATGCAAAAATGTTGGATAAAAACAGTGTGGTTCCCACGGTGGATTGCGAAATATTGTGCAGGGGCTAGCGGAGGCAATACTGGTCGGCGCATCACCTCGCACGATAGCCTCTAGTTTCAGTGCCTGACCGATACGCACAAACTCTATTTGCCGCGCGTCCTCTTTTAATTTTGATGTCCGGGGCACATCGTAGAGTACTTCAGAGAATGCTCGTCTATTTAGCATATTCTGTAAGGCAAATTACGGATGACAACATTATTCAGATATATTTAAATGACTTTCTGTAGTCTAATTCATTGGATATTGCATTAAGGCGAATACATAAATTTAGATTTCGACGGCACTGGATAAATACAACTTACCACTTTACCATCACCCATATAGTCTTCGTACAAGTCTTTTATTAACATATCCAAAGTTCTTTCTCTTTTTTGTGAAAATATTGGTGTTTGAAAAGTGGCTTTTTCCGCGTTTATCATTTTTACAAGCAGAAACTCACGAAACATGGAAATATCCTGTTTGAAAGAGAAACATTGGTACAAAATATTATTATATCTCTAAGGGAATGAAGAATGGAGTTAAATTACATCTGGTATTAATGCAAAGTCAAATACTACAGTCAATACACTACTAGTGTAATTAAAAATAGGATAACTATGTTTTGCTTTCGTTTTTATAGTTATTTATAGCGTTAACATCTACAAGTATATTGAAAGTAAACTATAAAGTTAGATTAATGTGAATTTGAAGCGGTAGGATGTAATGTAAAGTGGGTAGATGGGAGAAAAAAATTATCAAAACACGGGAATTATTAGTAAAAGTAAAGGGAAAGAAATAAAATTTTAAATTCTATATAACTTTCACAAACTTAAAGAATACGGGGGAAATTATGGTCACAGTACAAAATTAATACAATAAGGTAAAACCGCACCCAGAGGACTCATACATTGGCAGCTATATTCTTCATAAGGTTTGGGAGTTGGGGTTAGTATCGCCCCGATTTTATCTATTTTTGCCAATACTACATACTGTTAACATGCCACATACTAATAAATCAGCCCGATTTGCGGAAATCTTGGTATTAGTTATATCGGGGCTGGGTAAACGCAAAGTTAACTGTAAACACGCTCTCTCATATTCATTAAGATAACTCTCATCTTGGCCGATATATGCGGTATAAGGTAACCTGGAACTTCGAAGATTGTTGTTTAGGTATATGGGAGCTAAGGGAAGTGTCGACCCAATTCAGCCGTTTTTGACATACAGGCATACCATTTCCAGAAGGGGTTAATCCCAGAATTTCCATTATAAATACATCTCACACATTGACCAAAATTTGCTGCAAAAATTCAACTATATCAACAGCTTTTGTTGGATTTCGACAATTTTTTAGGCATTATACGTGAAAAGTTGTTTCTCGTTATATCTATTGCTCCTTGATTTGTATACCAGAAAGTGAAAAAAATCAAATGAAATTAAAAATTTTGTAACATGGCAAGCAGGCTGCTAGGTTACTGTAACCTAATTTCGCTCATATTATATCATCAGATATGTGAATTCGCCTAAAAGAGGGCGGTACCACGTTCGTTGTCCTGTGGCAAGTTTTTGGGAGTATAATTTAATGTTTTAGTTACTGACCAATCGTGCTTTTAGTAGTTTTAACGGTACTGTTATATGGGGAGTAGACAGGTCTATCCTTCAATTTCATCCATGTTCCCACCGTTGGTTCGTTTAGGATGCATAAATATGGTTATTGTGGCTTTAGTGGTTTAGGAGATATGTATACCTTTACCAAGACGTGGTCACGCTCTAAGCCCTGTGGGTTACAGGTTAATATCTTAATTCAGTGATCACCAAATTGTGGCTATTATAGGTTTTTGGTTTCATAATGGCGCTTTTTGGGCGTGACAATAGTCCGATTACGCCCATCTAGGAGCTTGTTCTTCGGTCTTACCAAATTTCATTACGATATCTCAATTTTTATCAAGTTATCGCTAGCACGTATAGACATACGGGGAGACGTACGGACGAACAGACAGATAGTCACCCGGATTTAAATTTGTCTTGTCACTCTGATTATTAGTATATGCATATAACTGTATATCCACCTCGGTTATTTAGAAATAATACCAACAATCGTAAGGTGACGAAAACAATGATAATCTATACAACGGATATGTTAACAAGTAAGGAAGGGCTAAGTTCGGGTGTCACCGAACATTGTATACTCTCGCATGATAAAGTGATAATCGAGATTTCATTATCCGTCATTTTTTTTATTTTTCTGTAAATTAATTTGATTAGATCAATTTGTGTACTTTGAGTATTGAATTGTATTTTCATTTATTTCAATTGCATTGAAAAGTTATAGTCCGATCACGACAATT